GAAATTTCTGTAAAAAAACAGCTGTGTTACCATTCTTTGGAATGAGTACAAATATGGATCTCTTCCAGTCAGTTGGCTTTGTAGCTGTCTTCCAAATTTCCTAGCATACTGCTAAGTACATCCAGCTTATTGAAACATTGCAATTGATAATCCATCAAAGCCTGGAGCCCTGTTTTTAGCTGATGCTTTCTGTACAATTCAAGGCTAGAATTTTTCTCTTGAGTTCTTTCTGTTTAAGATATATTGAGCGTGTTCTTTTTTGTTGTTGTTGTTTTATATCTCTAGGTCATTGCATATTTTGTTATATTTTACTTCGTCCTCTCCAACTGCTCTTTTCAATTTTCTGTTCATTATTTGACTTCCTCATTTCTTTGATTTGCCCTACTCTATGATTAAGAGCAAGTTTCAGATTTGCTTCTGACATCCACTTTGATCTTTCCTTTCTTCTTGCCTTTTAATAACCCTTGGTTGTCTTCATGGATGATGTTCTTGATGCCCTCCCACAGCTCATCAGGTCTTTTGTTTTTAGTGTTAAATATGTCAAATATGTTCTTGAAATTCATGTGGGATATCCTCAAGGTCATATTTTGGCTGTGAAACCCTGTTTCCCCAAAAATAAGACAGTGTCTTATATTAATGTTTGCTCCCAAAGATGCACTCGGTCTTATTTTCAGGGGATGTCTTATTTTTCCATGAAGAAGAATACGGTACACATTTATTGTTTTACTAAAGGAGACCTCACACTTCCTGTCTGCTCCAGCTGCACTGCGGCCAACAGTGAGCTGCGTGGCGGCACCCACCGCTACAGTCCAGAGCCCAGAGTTAAGGTAGCTTTGGGGGGCCTTATTTTCGGGGAGGTCTTATTTTGGTGGGGAGAATGCCTTATTTTTCAGCCAGAGGCAAAACTGTAAGTAGGTCTTATTTTGGAGGGATGTCTTGCTTTCGGGGAAACAGGGTAGTCTTGTTTTACCGTGTTAAGCATCAACCTATACTTACATATGAACATTGGTCATCTGCCAGGCCCTATCTTGGTTTTACCCTTTGATATTGAGCTTCTCCATCCTTTCTTCCCACAGATGTAGTCAATTTGATTGCTTTGTGTGTTAGTCTGCGTTGACTAGAGAAACAAATTCATAGACACTCATGTGTATAAGAAAGAGTTTTATATGCAAGAGCAATTGAATATTGAGAAAACATCCCAGCCCAATCCAGATCAAGTCCATAAGTCCAATATTAGCCCATATGTCCGATACCAATCTATAAAGTCCTCTTCAGACTCATAAAACACTTGCAATAATGCCAAATGCAGGATGATCACCGGCCAGTGAGTAGAAAGTCTTGTGGATCCACTGGCGTTGTAAGCAGGGGTCTTCATGTGGCTTCTCCAGCTCCAAGGCTGTGGCTGCCATCAGCTTGTCTACATGTGGCTTGTTAACAAGAATGTCTCTCAGGGAGTGTGTGTGTGTCCCACCTCCAGCAAGTTATTTATCTCCTTAGTGCCTCCAAATGAGGTCATCAAGCTGTGACCTGATTGACAGGCTAGACTCCACCCCTTCACTCTTAATCCTCCCAAATTGACAACAGATTATGTAACTACCACACTTTGTATTCCATCTGGAGAAGTCCATGTATATAGTGTTATTGGAATATCTTGGAATAAAGGTATTTGTTATGAAGGAGTTGTTCATCTTGCAAAATTCTATATTGCATCTCATTCTTACTTTCTATAACCAAGATCTTAATTTTAAGCTGTTGTTCAATTTTGCATTCTAAGCACCAGTAATTTTCAATGCATTCTGTTGGCATATTAGATCAATTTTAGGCTAAAAACATTGATAGAATTCTTCAATTTCTTCATCACTAGCTTTAATAGTTGAATAATAGTTCTATTGATCGGGTTTCCTTCTTAATATGTAATATTAACATGTTGTATGCTAATGACAGGGACTTGAATCACTTGATGATGAAAATAAAAGATTTCAACCTTCTATGTTCATTACAACTCAATGTAAAGAAAACCAAATCCTCCAATGGAGCCAATAGGTTACATCATGTAAACAAAGAAAAGATTGAAGTTGTCAAGGATTTTTTTCCCTTAGATCCACAATAAATGTTCATGGAAGCAGCAATCTAAAGATCAAATGATATTGTCTTGGGTATATCTGCTCCACAAGACCTCTTTGAATAGTTGGAAAGCAAGGATGTTACCTTGAATAAAGTGTGCCTGACTTAGGCCATGATATTTCAGATTACCTCATATGCATGTGAAATTTGGACAGTGAATACAGAAGACTTAAGAAGAAGAAATGCATTTAGAATATGGTGTTGGCAATGCCTATTGAAAGTATCATGCACTGCCAAAAGAAAAAACATATCTTTCTTAGAAGAAGTATAGCCAGAATGCTTCTTAGAGGCAAGAATGCTGAAACTTCATCTCAAGTATTGCTAGAGTGCTCCTTAGAGGTAAAGATGATGAGACTTTGTCTTACATATTTGGACATCTTATCAGGAGAGACCAGTCCCTGTAGGAGAACATCATGCTTGGTAAAGTTGAGGGGTAACCAAAAGGAGAAAGGCCCTAGAAGAGATGTACTTATACAGTGGTTGTACTCATGAGCTCAAACAGCACAATTTTGAGAGTGTCTCGGGACGGGGCAGTGTTTCCTTCTGTTGTACCTGTGGTCGAGATAAGTCAGAACCGAGCCAATGCCACCTAACAACAGGAGTAGAACCTTACGGTAGTTGGAGGACGAAAAAATGATAGCAGATATACTAATGGATATCGAGTTATCTTTCCAGAAAATTGATTTCAAATCAGGAAAGAACGATTAGTGAATTTTGGGTGGATTACTTGGAGAAAATTTATGACCTCTACAGATATATAAATTAGAAAGAGAACCTTGAAATTAATAACACATGTGTAATCTTATTTTTGATAAGTTTAATAGAAATTAATACAACTTGAATTCTTATCACATTGTAAACACACCCTATGTATTATAGTTTAGGACTTTAGAGAAATCCTTCACCTGAGGCATTGGGCTTAATTTCTTCCAAGCCACAGTGAGTCAATCCTTTTGCTCTTCTCTTTGAAGAACTGTGTGTTTGTGCTTGTAAAAAAAAAAAATATATATATATATATGTGTGTGTGTGTGTGTGTGTGATTATATATATATGATTATATATAAATAATTATTTTATATATAATTTTAGGGATTTATTTTTCATTTTATATTTAATGTTATAGTTATCTTAAGCATAAGCATGTTTCCAACATCAAATCAAATCAAATCCAATATCAAATATATTCTTATAAAGTTGGTTTTTATGCCTGTGTATTCCAACCTGATTTCTACCTCTCTGTATAGCGCTTGAATACTATCTTTATGGTATATGCTTCCATTTAAAAATTAAGTATAGACGTATATATGTGTCAGGGACCAGCCTCCCTACAGCCGATAGGGTCCAAGGCATGGTTGTGCAATAGAGGGGTCACTTAGAGAGACATCAGAGAAGATAAAGCACACAAGGGATCACCTTCTGTTATGACTTCAGGAGTCAGGTCCAAGCAGAGAGAGTAATGTAATCTCATGAGTTTGTATTATCTTGGGCACACAGCCCATGGTAAGCACATATATAACAGGGAGGGGTTGTACAATAGGCATACATGTAACAGGATGGGGACAAATTAGAGGTATATGCCCATTCGGAAGTGTTTGTACTAGGGACATACATATCAAAATGGGTGGGCTCTGGAGGAAAGATGGCAGCCTAACCTTGATCTTCTGAGTTGGCTTGACCTTAAGTGACTGAGCTCTTCTCCAGGGCAACAATCAATGATCCTTCTCAGAAGGGAGTGGGCCTTACTGAGGGTGGGACAGACCATAGGGTCTGATTGTTTTTGATGGTGGATAACTTTGAGGCAGATAGCCTTTAAGCTATTAATCTTCAAGTGTATGGAGTAGCAGCCATGTGCTTACAAATTGCATCTTAAAATTGTCATTATTATGGGGGACATCATGGGGAATAAGTTTTACTTAGGAGAATATGAGTGGGGCACATCTCCATCCCATGAATGTGAAGGCCCCTTCCATGGAAGCCCTGGCCTCCCAGAATCCTTAATGTATGAATATTGAGAGTTTGCCTACATACACGCTCTTCCCAGTTGTTTCCCACATATATGTATATGTATTTATTTAAATATGTATAGTACAGGACCTTGTTGTGTTTTGTTGTGATGTGCATAGCATCACTATGAGTTTTAACCTCATAACCAGCACATAGCCACAACCACATGTTATTTTTGTGTTACTTATTCTTATACCATCTTTAATAGATAAATTGTAGCTTGCAATTTTATTTCATCTTTGTATTATATACTTTAAAATATATTCTGATGATCATGTCTTAGCAGTATATAATCACGTTCAATTGGTTAAAGCTATATTGTACTTATAGCCATAACTAGGGAAGCATCCCCACTCCACGATTGCTGAGGAGTCTCCGTGTTTCCAAATTTTATTGTTTTTTGCTTAGTTTATTTTAATGTAAATTAATTAATTATTGTGAACCAGAATACTAGCACTTATTTTGCTATTCAGATCTCCTGGTAAAGTTTTCCAGAATGTGCGTTGCGGGAATTTTTCACATCATCACTTAAATTTTTTAAAACTTGGTTTTCCTTTGTATCTTTTCTTCTTGGTTTTGAGTGGGTCCAGGAGGAATTGCCAGATAATTAATTGGTTGACCTACTTGTGCAGTTGAGGGAGTTTTAAAGATTATTTTCTGCCAAGAAGAATGTCTCTTGAGATTCAGAACTCTAGACACAAGCAGTCATTTAATTTATCTTGCAGTTAAGTGTCACATAAAGTTCAAATAACAGATTATTGAGCCATTAAACTAAGATCTAAGATGTTTTATCTTGCTGATGGGAAAACAGAGAATCTGGTTGAGGGTTTGATCTATAACCTTGTATAATATGCTTTTAATTTTTATTTTAGGCAGTTTGGAAGGGCTTTCTTTTACGAAAAAAACTGACAACAGCTCTAGAAGCTATTAAGAATGAAGATTCTGAAGAATATGAAGAAATAGATTTAGAGGATTTTACATTTGATGAGGTAAGTACCAAATGCAACATACAAATGTTGGTCTTAAAGTATTGTTAGTACAATGTTTGGAGGTTAACCAAGGAAATTTTTTCCTCCACTTACTATTAAGGTTTCTCAGGTGCTTATCCTGCAAATATTTCATTTCATATTATTTTCAAATAACACTTAAGAAGGAATGGTACTAATTTCTTAACTCCTTAATTTACCCTACAAGTGTACAATGCATAAATCAATTGTCATTTCTGGTTTTTAGTGACCCAATAGGAGAGAGTAGAACTACTGCATAGGGTTGCCAGACTACAATCTTTACAGAAGTAGACTGCCACATCTGTCTCCTATGGAGTGACTGGCGGGTTTGAACTTTAGACCTTTGGGTGAGCAGCTCAGTACTTTACTATTGTGCCAGCAGGGCTCCTGCACAGTATACATACATACTTTATTGCACTTCGCAAATGTAATGCATTTTCTTAAATTAAAAATTGAAGGTTCATGAGAGTCCTTCATTGAGTGACGATTGATGCCATTTTCCCAATAATATGTGCTCCCTTCCTGTTTTGCTGTCACATTTTGGTCAATTTCACAATTTTTCAAACTTTGTCATAATGCTAACAGACACTCAATAGACTCACTACAGTAGATATATATCGTATATCTGAGGCAGATCGCCTTTAAGCCATTAATCTTCAAGTGTATGGAGTAGCAGCCATGTGCTTGCAAATTGCATCTTAAAATTGTCATTATTATGGGGGACATCATGGGGAATAAGTTTTACTTAGGAGAATATGAGTGGGGCACATCTCCATCCCATGAATGTGAAGGCCCCTTCCATGGAAGCCCTGGCCTCCCAGAATCCTTAATGTATGAATATGCATAACTTGCTTTGCTATGATTCTCACTTTATTCATTTTTTAAAACTATTTTATTGGAAGCTAATACAAACATTATATCTTTCCATAGTTGGATCACATCAGCAGTATTGTACAATTGGTATCACAATCAGTTTCAAAATATTCTCCTCCTTGTTTACCTCCTTGACCTCAGCTCACCCTAGCCCCTCCCCACTACACCTCGCAGGAACCTGTCTTCTACTTGCTGTCCCATAGGTTCATCAATCCTGGGTTTCATATACTAGGAAAAAAAAGGAAAACATAACAAAAATTCAAGAGGTTTACTCTCAATGCCAAAATACATCTGAGATAAAACCCTTATGGGAAAAAAATAGAAAATATTGAAAGCCGGATCAGGCCCAACATGCACCAAAGGGGGATCAACTGACAAGGTTTTAACCATTCATCAGGTTTATCATTTTGATCTCCTATACTTATCTCTCCAGTGCACTCACTCTATGTGGCAACCGATTTCTTCCCATCTCTCTCTAATCTGATTGTCTAGAATTGAATCTGTGGTGTTTCTGAGGTATGCTGTACAAAAGTAGTCATAGAATTCTTACAAGAGTTCCCATGTACTCTTTGCCCAGATGTTTCAGAAATGAATATTTAACATAACCCCAATTCAATTACCAAAATTAGGTAATTTTTGGTACAGTACTATGATGTTATACAATTTATTCAAATCTTGCCAATTGTTCAATAAAGTCCTATTTTTCATCTGATATTCAATTCAGGGTCCATGTGGCATTTACTAATTATTTTTTTCTTAGTAACTTTAAGATTGAAACAAATCTTCAATTTTTCTTTGTAATTCAAGAACTGGATACTTTAAGGAGTTAAAACAAACAAAAAGAAAATACTGAAAAACAAACTCACTGCCACATTCTGACTCATAGCAATCCTGTGAGACAAGGTACAATTTCCTGTGTGTGTTTTCAAGATTGTAACTTTTTTCTTTTATTAACATTTTATTGGGAGCTTTTATGGATGTTATAACATTCCATAATTCAAATAAATTGAGCATAATATACAATTGCTACTACAATCAGTTTCAAACATTTTCTTTTTTTTTGAGTCCCAAAACATTTTTTTTCTTCTTAAACCCTTTGATATCAGCTCCCTTTTATCCCTTCCCTCCCCCAACCTTCCATTCAGAATCCTTATTGTTATTGTTAAATATTATTTTATATATTTACATACTTATAAATATATGTATATATTTCTTATAGCCATATGTTACCCCATAAACTATATCCATTCACCTACAATTCTGTTATTAGCTCCTCTCAAATGGGGTTATAGAGTGATCATTGCTATCAGCTCCTCTCACCCCACCCCCTTCCCGGATCTCAGGGAATCATTACTCCCATTGCTGTTTCTGAAGGGTCATCCATCCTGGCATTCCAACATTGAATGATATTAATTATACAAATGAGCATACATAGGTTTAACAATATTGAGGGAAAACAGAAGCCTTAATAGTAAGTGGAGGAAATATTGAAGAACTAGAAGACAGTTATGTTTTTCATCAGTGCTATATCTTACCCTGGATATATCATTCTTTCTATGCGGCCCTTCTGAGAAGGACTGGCCAAATATCTTACAGGTGGGTTTTGGGTCTCCACTACGTGCATGCCCCTTTACAGCACTTTGGTTACTTGTTTTTGAACTTCTGATACCTCTTTCCATTGATACCTCATGATCACACAGGCTGGTGTGCTTCTTCCATGTGGGCTTTGTTGCTTCCCTGCTAGACTGTTGCATGTTTAACTTCATTCCTTTAATATCCCAGAAACTATATTTTTTAATAGCAGGGCAATCAGCTTTCTTCACCACATTTGCTTATGTACCTATTTTGTCTTCAGCGACCCTGTGGGGAAGGTATCTCACAGTGCCACATTATTAGAACAGACTGTTCTTGTACTTAGGTAAGATTTTAGTAGAGATCCAAAGTCCATCTGCTTACTTATTGTATATACACACACACATATATACCTATATAGACAAATACATCTATAGTTATATAATTATATATTTATATGTCTACATGTTAGTCCAGGTAGACTAGAGAAACAAATTCATGGACACTCATATGTATAAGAAAGACCTTTATATACAAGTGCAGTTGAAATTTGAGAAAACATCCCAGAGCAAGTCCATAAGTCCAGTATCAGACTCATGAAAAGTATGCAATGATGCTGAATGCAGAAAAATCACAGGCCCGTGGGTGGAATGTCTTGTGGGTCCAGTGACGTTGTACGCATCTCAGTGCTGGCAGGAGTCTCCACATAGCTTCTCCAGCTCCCAGGGCTGCATCTTGTTTAGGACCATGTGTCTTCTCAGAAATGTCATGCAGGGAATGAGCAGAGAGATAGTGTCTCCTGCCTCCAAGGAGGAAATACAGGAGTTCTCAGAATCGATTGGTCAAACATAACCAAGAACGCTATACCCTCCTCACTATCAATTTTATAGCTCTTGCTCCTCAGAATCCTCAGAAGAAGGCATTTCCCACACAGAGGCCTCATTGGCTATGACTTGAATGACAGACTAGACTCCACCCCTTCACCTTTAATCCTTTCAAGTCTCAAATTGACACCAGATTATGTAACTACCACACTATATTTATACCTATATATGTCTTTTTGGCACCTCACCTGAACTGGTTGGAGTTACTCACTAGGGGCCATACCGAAAGTCTAAAGTTATAACAAAGAGCAATGGAACTTTAAGATACGGGCTTTTCAGACACAAACACTGAGGATTAAAAAGGGTACACATGCTGTTAGTAAGCGCATCAGGGATATGGAACCTTGAAAGCAAAGGGGATTGGGTTGAGGCATAATAACAGTCCCTGCTGGCTATTTAACAGGAAGATATTCACCTACTGTGGGTCAGGATACCAGTTAGGCTTGTAGACTTGGAACTATTTATATGGTCTCTCTCTCTCTCATGCGTGCATTCGCTTGCTCATATCTATATAAGATAGGAAGGATAAGCAATCCCATGGAGACAGTGATGGAACTGATGATTCTGAGGCCATGGGCAGGAATAAGGTGGGGGAGGTGAATAGTTAGCCAATACTGACAGACACGGGAACAGCAAAGGTTATAAAATTGATAGTGAGGAGGGTATAGCGTCCTTGGTCATGTTTGACCAAACGAAAAGTGTCTGAGAGGAATTACTGAGAGGTGAACAGTGGGTAAGCATGATAGTGGGGTAGGAGGAAAAGAAAAAGAGGAAGAAGAAGGAAGTAAAAATGATATATATAAGACTGTCACTTTTTATCGGTGTAGAAAGTCCCCTTCCTGCCGAGCAGCCAGTGGTTTCAGGCTTCCAGCCGTGCGGTTGCTGGCCGGTGCATAACCATACACCGCCAGTACTGAAGATACATTATGCGGAGCCCTGGTGGTGTAGTGGGCTTAGTTGGACTGCTTGCTACAGGTTAACAGCAAACCCACTAGCAGCTGCTATGGGGGGAACAGATACAGCTGTCAGCTTCTGTAAAAATGTCACGTCTTAGAAACTTAAGGCAAAGAACTCCAGGTCCAGGTGATGCTGGTAAAGATATTATCTGCTATAGAGGATTGTACTAAATCATTTTTTTTAAATGCAAAGCACAACCTCTAAGTTATTGTATCAAAATCAACTTGATAATTTTAATGTATTGCCTAAAATTTTAAAATAAGAAGGTTAGTATCATATACCCAACTCTAAGAGTTAAATTTGATCACATGGGTTTGTGTGTTACACATGAGACACATAAATGAGAACTATTCTGACTTCAAAATAATGGAAAAACTCTGGAGGTGCGCCCATGGGCCCAAGTTATCATTGTGGTGGTTTTATCATGCCAGGAAACCACGAGATTGGGATGTGGTCCCTGCGTTTTCCACAGATGCCACGGCGCTTCTCGCGGGGATGTGGGGTGTGCTAAGTGCGCTGGGCTGTTTGGGGGCTGTGGAAGTCCACTCTGCTGTCCCTTCAGTTTTGTGTGCATGCAACATGGTTTTCATTCACTGTGGTGGTTATCCAAAGAAGCCTTTGAGTTCATACCTTCGATTTTCCATAGAACAGCTACCCATATTTACATCTAAGAACCCAGATGCCAAAAATTCCGAA